TTTTTACGAGCTTTTGCGTAATCGGATATGTTTTTCGGAGAAGAAAAGAGGAAAAGGTTATTTTGGGTAAAGCGGCGAATTTTATGGAATCAAAGTCCTCACCTTTTGACTCGAGTGATCATATCACTTCAAGGATGGTACTTACTATTTTTTTTTTTTAACGAAACACGATAGAATATTATTTTAGCCTTGTCAATTATTTTCTATGGTAAATTATTTAAAAAACTAGTTCATAGTGTTAATGAACGAATAAGATCAATGGTTAAAATTGAATTTAGTAAAAGTGGAAAAGAGAAAATGAGGACGATATACGATAAAGATGGTTTTTATCACTTAATTACGAGGTCGGTTTCTGATAGTGAGATCGACACTTTTGTTACACTTGGAGATAATTACGTGAGTTAATTACATATTCTAGAGAGATAAAGTAGTAGTTGAACGGCTACTGAGTCGCAACACTCACTTACATTTGACCTGACTTTGATAGTCAAACGATGTAGATGTCAATTACACATTTCCTTCACTTCGTTTCGCTAATGCTTCTGACTTCATTGCGCTTCGCTTCGTTTGTTCCCTCTTCTTAGAAAGCGCAAAGGAAAGAGTTCTTCGACTAGGCTATCCGAGAAGGCAGCAGAAGGTAAAAAAGAAAGGTGAAGTGCTACTTTCTCTCTCTATAATCTGTAATTAATTCCCGTATTTATCTCCACGTGTAACAAAATTGTCGACTTCACTATTAGAGGCCGACCTCGTAATTAAGTGATAAAAACCATTTTTATTGTATATCTTCCTTATTCTCTCTTTTCCACTTTTACTAAATTAGATCTTAACTGTTGATTTTATCTGTCCACCAACATTTTGGCGCTAAAAGGAGGGCAGTTCGAACCTGGGACATCTACAAAAATTTTACTTCAATTTTTATTTGTGGAAAGACTGAGAATAATACATAATCAGCTAGTCGGATCTACAGTAATGTTCATCTACCCACGGTTGGCACATGTTAATATGTCCACTGTTTATGTGTCATGCACATATTAGTGATGTATTTTTTGAATATTATTAACATCACCAATGTGTGCATGCCACATAAGCGGTAGACATATTAACATGTGCCAACCGTGGATAGTGTAACATTATCTGTCAACTCATCTATGAACCATTAAGTTGTTTTGCATAAGAATTTGTACTCCTCTCACTTTCACTGTGCATTTCAAATTTGGATTTTGCTAGTATTTTTTTTTTCTTGAGACGTAGTTTAGCATTAAATGAAAACAAAATGATGCATTCTTCAATAAATATTATTTAATACGCCAGAATCAGCATTGAAACCATCAAAACTATAAGCATTCATTGTCGCCAGTGGTGTGATTATTTGAATTAATTATTGCATTTGCACCATATTACATATTGTCATCAAATTATCAACACTCTCACCATATTACATATCGTCATTAGATTTGAATTAATTTTGTTGAGTTCATATGATTTATATATGTTGTTATAGTTATAATATTATAATTTATAAGTATATATTAAACTATAAAATATCATAATATATATATATACCTTTGTAAGTATATATTAAACTATAGAATATCATAGAATATATCTTTAAATGTATGACCCACTTTAAAATGAGACTATTCACTTGTAAGATTGGTCCTTTCTCATATTATAATAATATTTTTAATTCATATTTAATGAATATAAAAATAGCATTTTAATTTATATACAATTTTATTAATTTTTAACTAGATGTAAATATTAATAAATTATTTAATTGTTAATAAATACAATTAACAACTTTAATTATCTTTTATATGCTATATGGAAATCAAATTAATCCAAACTCATCAAAAGTTTAATAATTTGAATGATAATATAGTAACAAAATACAAAGTTATTAAGATTTAAAATATATTTACATTTAGATTAGTTAAGTGTTTTATAATTTTCAAAATCTCGAATATGCTACATGTATATAACTTTTAATCTACATGAGCCACTCCATGCACCAAAAATTGTCAAAGGAAAAATAGTAAGATCGAGACATTCTGCATTATTATATAAAATAGAATATATCATATAATTTGTCAGTTTAATTTGTTTTATTATTATAATATTATAATATATAAACAAATAAATAATAGTAATAAAGATGTATGGTTGCATGCCCATCTTTATCAATGACTGAAAAAGTTGTGTATGGTGAGACTTTTTTTAGTAGAATTTTGTGATGAGTATCTGCTTTTTTTTTTCCCCTCTCCATGTATGTATTAGATTCTCCCTTTTTAATCATAATATTCTTATGGATATATACCAAAGTTGAATAAAATAAAGTGGGATTTAAATAAAATTAGTGTCCTTAAAAAAAAATGGTAACACTACTAATGTATGAATTGGACCAACAATAAAACTATGAATAGAAATTATTATAAACTACATAAATTCCAATGCAGATATTATACTTAAAAACAAGAGCCTGATCTTTTATAATTATGGAACTGAACAGAAAAAAGAAGTCATGCAGTCCCCTCCATAAGCATCTGCTGATGCCTCTTGAAGGAAAGAAGCTTTTGCAGGCGTATCCGCCTGTGAAATTTATTTACCGAATGTTCTATGCGGGCACGTTGGTGATGTGCACATATATCTTTTGATGGATTTTGCTGTAATTTGGATGAAACTGGAAAACAATCTCAGTGGCAACTTCTTCCATAACCTCAACAATCGACTGAGCGTCTACAAGCCAGATTGCAATGACCGGGTGGGTATAGAGAAATTGCATGTAATCAATCTCCAGACTGCACTTGTTAACTGCAGGTAAAAATGAATTAAGTTAATTCACAACTGAAAAAAGTCATAGTGGGATCACTGGCTGGATGAAACCAAACTCAAACAACCTACTAAATTCACCCATATTAGGCTGTAAAAATAACATTTAAAAATTTTCAGGAGGAAGTTTGTTACCCGCCACCATTGCATTAATCTTCTTTAGATACTCAAAGTCCCCATCATCAAATTTTGGATTCACATAAGTAAGCAAGAACTCCTTGAACTTGTTGGCGATGAAACGCCTCACTTCCTCTCTCGTAACCCACTCTGTGAGGGTTCCTTGAACTCTATACATCTCAACCTCACCTTCCTCATACTCTTCATCCTATAGAGATAGCAGCACATTTTATCAGGACATTCCTAATAATGCTTCTCGCATTCAGAATAGATTAAGCAATATATAACTGAAATACATACATCGTCCATATCAGTCATGGATACATCATCTCTGAAGTTCACTCCTTGAGATCTACCAGGTGAATTGGGTGGTGTCCCATCAATATCATCCATGCTGGTTGGAGTATTTGGCTGCCTGTCACCTCTAGTTCTTATCAGCAGCCAGTCTTCATCATCATTGGTGTCTGAAATTAAGTATCTTGGTCATTTAACTTCGCAGTTCACAATTCACATAATAACAAAATCAAAGACTATCAAAATGGTTTGTGCAGTTCAGCATCATTTATATTAGTTTGAGTCAGCAATTTTCCAATTTGGTTGTGACGAATATATCTCATGGGTACACTCGGATAGCGAACATAGCCCAAGACTACCTCTACATGTAGTTTATCCCATACCTATAATTTCAAACCTCATTCTTATATCACCATGTGTTGCAGTTTTTTCTTGTGATCAGAACAACACTAGGGTCAATGGTCATGCAGCGAAACAATTTATCCAACTAGAGCAGTACTTAAGAATCTATACATACAGTAAAAGTATTACATTTTTTCAGCAAAAAACCACTGAATAAATCGACATAATTAAATGAAAAAGAGGACCACCTTGGTGAGAACGAGAAGGTTGTCTTGCATCGAGTTCGATCTCAGCAGC